GGGGGGGGAGTTTAAGTCACCCTTACAATCAACCAATCAATACATAAATAAGTGAGTAAGTAAGTAAATAAAATTATATTTAAAAAACAAACAGAAAGAAAATGGAAATCACAGAAAACCAAAAATATCATGGAAGAATTGCAAATATTTATCGTTATGAGACTGGATGTGGGTAAAAATAAACAACCACAGTGATTATTTAATCAGTTTTTAACAAATTATTATTTGACAACTAAGATAATAATCAGTGAAGCGTCATCATTTGCTGCCTCTTATTTCTTACATGTAGCACTTTACTTTATTACAGTAAAGTTTGAGATTTTTACTCTATGGTTTGTTTTAGTAATTTCTAATGTGTTAGGTTTTATAAATGATGTAATGTTTAATGTCTAACATTTATTTGTCATATCAGTATATTTGTGTTTATGTTATTCATCTATGTTCAGTTTTCTATAGATTTGTTTTTTGTTTTTCAAATATTTATTTATGAAAACCATCAATTTTGCAAAGAGCCACAAATGCAAATTAGACTTTATGGTTACGTCATATTTACTTTGTTTATTAACGTGCTCATGGTAATTAAAATGCATTGTCCCGTATAAATAAACATATCAGAGATATGGAAACTAAGCAGTTTATTGTAAAATAATTATACATAACATACGTGATTAGTGACTTTACAAAGGCTTCAGATGAATTTTGATCAGAATCAAATTTAAAAACAATCCATGCAATAGACATGTAGAGATTTCAGTCTTGTAGGACATTTAGAGAGGTAACTCTTGTTGTGATTTGGCGCTATATAAATAAAACTGAATTGAATTGGATGACCAACTCTGATTGAGACAGAACTAACTAACTAAGTTCTGATGAACTCTCCCCTTCTTCAAATGTTGGGCAGTCTTTCTGGATAAAGATCGAGCCAATGGCGTTCTAGTTCGGACTCGGAGGTATAACTCAGGCTGGTTTGAGGAGCTGCAGATGGGAGACCTGAGGAGGGAGTGTATAGAGGAGAAGTGCACCTATGAGGAGGCCAGGGAGGTGTTTGAGCACACCGAGCTCACGGTAAAATCAAATTAAATTTTCACTTCACTGAACATGTTTTCTATAAAAGAGTTTTACATGACAGGAGAAGACAGCAGGTGGAAAAAAACTGGATTGGGACTTGTCATGATTTCAATTATTGATATTTAAATTAAATACTGTTAAATACTGAAGCCATGTTATTCCAGTAAATTACTGACTATTTTTAAGACATTTATTCATGTAAACATGCAAATTGATAACAATTCATAATTAGCAACACAAACAGAGGCAAATACTTGGCCACATGAACTCATGAGGTGAAAATGTGCTTTATACTAACGCTAATGCTTAGAAATTGAGGACAAGCTTATTGTAGTCATTTGTATGAATAGAGAGGGCATTATTCAATTTCTCACTTACATAAACAAAACTTAATGTTTTTATTAATGTTGGCTTTCAGTTATAACTTGAGGGAAGAAGCCATCCCATTGGCTGTTAGGGGCAGTTATTTATAGTTTGTGAAATGTTCTAGAAAAACTATGTTCATGTCAAAGCTTTGCAGTTGATCTGAACCGCAGTTTCGTTTTTTAGTGAATAGCTGTAGGCCTCAACCAATCAGATAACCAAGAACATTTTAAGTCAGGGGCCAAAGGAATCTTATAAAACACTAAATAATCACAAACAGGCTAAAAGACATTCAAAACAACCACACAGACATTCGGGCTTACCACAAACCAACAGAAGCTGTCCAAGAAGAGACAAACATAACACAGAGACTAAAGCACTGCGCAAAGATGAAACACAGATACAAGCAGATGCAGATCAAATCTAAGCAAATGACACACAACAAAACTATAGAGAACTTAATGTGAAGCTAAACATCTGCAGGATTCACAGCTGAAGTGTTTTTCTTGTAGATTTGCTGCCTTTTACATATCTTTGTTGGAGACCCGATGTTTCTGTCTGATAACTGGTTTATTTTTTTTTTCACATTGCTGTAATTGTTGTCTCCTCAGAATGAGTTCTGGAAAACATACAACGGTAAGCAATTTCCCATGTTAAAAGTAGCTGGAATAAAATGTTTTTAGCACAGCACCACATACATCTTGAAGACCAATTTTACGTCCACCTTCAGAAACTCCAGCATGTAATATGATACAGTCATGTCAAATCATTGTGTTCTGTGTTGTCTTATAGTACCAAACCCCTGTATTTCCAATCCCTGTCAGAATGGAGGCATTTGCTCCACTCATGCTTCATCCTACATCTGCTTTTGTCTGCCAGACTTCCATGGAGTCAACTGTGAGCTGGGTGAGCAAAGAATATGAACTTTTTTACATCACTTGGCTGCTGTAATGTCAAGTATTTTCTATTTAAATTAGCTTAGCTAGCAGTTTGCCTTCATGAAAATTAAACTATAAACGTCACTCAGTTAATAACAGCAAAACATCATTTTTATGTTTTCAGACAGAAAAAGAAACACTCATGTATAAAGGCACAAAATCTCAGCAAAATAAAATTACATTCACAATTCATGATGGTGAAAAACTGTGATTATTTAAATCATTTAAGTGATATATAAAAATAATATTTTTGCAATATTATTTCTAATTATAATTATAAATAATACTTATAATTTATAATATTTTACTTAATCGTATGCTGAATAAAATTCAAGTATATGACTTACAAAATTGTTATCAAACAATAGTCAAAGTTTTTGGCTTATTTTTAAGCTATATGTAATTTTTAACATGTACTTTATCAAAATTAATTATTCCTCCCACCAGTTTATGAAAAACTACTTGAAAAGTAATTAAAATAACCGTTATTTGCTTTTTATATAATTTAATTTCTTTTTACTTTTTTGTGATTAAATGAACAAATTACATAATTTAATTATGAACATTTCTTTAGAGGTGAAGGCTGAGATCGATACCTGCTGGGTGGAGAACGGAGAATGTGAGCACTTCTGTGAAGAAGACGAGTTCCAAAAAAAACAGAACTGCTCGTGTGCAGACGGCTACTTCCTCCATGTTGATGGACGGAGTTGCATAGCAAAAGGTTGGACAGTGATTTGTAAAGAACAAAATGTGAAAAATGTTTTGTAGATTCTCAACACAATTGTTTTCATATTTGCAATAACAAAGTTTATGACAGTTTTCTTTAAAAACCCATATTTGCTATGAAAGACAAAAACATAGGTTAGAATATGTAAAAACATTTAGATGTTGGTAATGGTAATTATTCTGTGTTAGTTTATCCATCACACCAATATTTTACATAACTGTGTGTGTATATGATTCTTTAAATGTTAATTTTTTAAATTAAGGTAAATAATCATTTGATTCTAGTAAACAATCAGAGGGTTGAAGAATTAAAGAATTTCTGTCACTTTTTCCTACTTTTCAACATTTTTCAGTGCTGCAGAAAATATGTGTGTGTGTGTGTGTGTGTGTGTGTTTTATTATTTGTTATTTGTTCAGTTATTATTTCAGTTTGATGAACATCATAGCGTTGAAGTTTATATATTTACAGGAAAATCCTGTCCGTTCACACAGGCCTCACTAATCAACCTTTGGACTCCCTGCTGCACTGAACAGTTATGAAATTCCTGTTTTACTTTAAACCAGCCCTCTATACCCCCAACCTCCCCACCACCACATGTGTGTGTCATCAGTGTATAAACAATTGCTTAGAACACTTAAGTAGTTCTAGTGCACCAGTAAAACCTTTAACTAGTAAAAGTTAAACTGGAGCTGCAGTTTGATATTATTTGTAAAATGAAATTAATAATGAATAATTTGTTATTGTTTCAGAGCCGATAGCATGTGGCATGGTCCCCATACTGCGGGGTGAAGAAAAGGAGGAGCATCTCCGAATCGTAGGAGGAACTGTATGTCCTAAAGGTGAATGCCCCTGGCAGGTAGGCCCAAGATAAAGGAAGAGTTCATTGGTTTAAATATGTCTGATTTTTTATTAACTAAGCGTCAAGGGTAGCAGAGAGTCTCCTAACATAAAAGGGTATCTAATCTCTTAGATTCTGTTGAAACCAGATTTTGGTTCTGAACAACCAATATTAATTTCGTTTTCTGTATTTTATCCTTTTTGAAGGCTCAGACAAAATGTGCTCTTGTGTTGTGTGAAGGTATTGCTGATGTATAAAGGAAAAGGTTTCTGTGGAGGAGCGATTTATAAACCTACATGGATCATCACAGCTTCTCATTGCATGGAAGACATCGAGGTACAGTTCCTGAAAGTCATTGCAGGTATGAATCTCATAGTTAAATATGCCATCTGTTCAAGCAAGCCTGACTTATGAAGCAGAACAGGAGAGTGACAGGTGTCTAAACCTCTTAAAAATGATGACAACCCTAAAAAAAATAGAAGGCTACCTGTCTATATATCTTTTCATTAGACAATGAAAATACACAAGCATACTTCAAATCACTGTTAATTAATCTCAATTTAACTTTGAATTGTGCTCAAAGGATTATATCTGAGCTGCCTTGTATTTCTTTCTGTCAGGTGAGCATGACATTATGGTAAATGAAAGCACCGAGCAGCTCATCCAGGTGGCTGAGATTATCATGCATGAAAACTACGTATCAAGCACTGCAGACAATGATATCGCTCTCCTCCGCCTGGCATCTCCCATCATCTATACCCAGTATGCTGTCCCAGTCTGCCTACCTACATGGAATCTATCCACCCGTGTGCTCTGGATGATCCGGCTGCACACAGTGAGTGGCTGGGGGAGGCGGAGCGAAAATGGGCCTACCGCACAGATCCTTCGACGCCTGAAGGTGCCGCGAATCCGCACGCAGGACTGTGTCGATGAGAGTGGCGTAGTGCTCACTCAGAACATGTTTTGCGCCGGATATATTGAGGGTCGTCAGGACTCATGTAAAGGTGACAGTGGTGGACCCCTGGTGACCCAGTATAAGACGACAACTTTCCTGCTGGGGATCGTCAGCTGGGGGAAGGGCTGCGCCCGACCGGGGAACTATGGCATCTACACCCGAGTGTCCAACTACCTTGAGTGGATCCACAACCGGACGGCAACACCAGATCAACCGAGGAACGGCAGCAAGACTTTGATGAACAACCTTACCACCTGAAAGACCCGATTAACTTAGCTTAGCATAGCTCATATAACCAAATACTGCGTTTTCACTTTTCTGATTGACTGCTAAGAGTCTCATTAAAAACTTTGCAGAAAGTATTTCACTTACAAATTTTGGTGGGTTGATTTCAATTGATCAGTTCTGCATATTTAAGAAAATTCATCAAAAACACGAAACATTCTTTTACAAATGTGATGTTTTACTGCTTTTCTCTGAACATATAATAGAACAATGTATTGGATTTTTTTTTAATTAAAATGAGCCTTGTGAATGTATTTTTCATTGCATTTTGTAGACAGAATGACAATTAACACTTAGAATTGCCATGTTGAGCTATTCACGATTTTAACCCTCCCCTTTCCCATCCTGCAGACACCTGCTAGGGTAACCATTGTTTGTCTTTTTTCTGATAAATAATTTCAATCATATTTCCGGCCTGCTTCCAGAACAAAATGATTGGGTGTGTGTCAGAGGTTAGTGAGGGTAATCTCTGCCTATACAGTGTGGCGATCTATTCTAGTCGCCACACCATGCCAATACATAAGAATCAAAACACATCTTTAAGCAAATATTCTTTATGGGGGAAAGAGTTAAATGACCCCTGAAAACCAGGGACAGCTCAAGAGGTTTGTTTGGTAGGAGGCACACCGGAAATCAGAACACGGGACCTGAAATAAATAATGTGTAGAAAACACAGTGTTAAATTTGGTGGATTCCAAAAGAATATTCAAATGTCAGAATATCACAATTACTGAGACTCTTTGACTCTGAGTTATCTCGACATTTATATTTTTAAAATTGTCAGTGTGTGAGATTCATAAATACTGTAGCCTTAACATGAATGACTGTAAACAGGGAATGAGATATCCTCCTAGGTTTTATTTACCGACCGTTAAAGCAGAGCACATGATCAGTGGGCGTGGACTATATAAATATTCCCTGCCCCCTCATCTTGAAAACCCCTGTTTTCTGGCAAACACTCTGAATCTGGTCAACATGCTGCTGAAGGGCTGCTGCATCATCTGGACTCTGCTGTGGGGCACCGCTGCTGCTGCAGGTTGGTTACTTTAGCGAAAATAACAATAAAAATAACCTCAATTGGGAGCAGTTTTACACATCTTCTAATTCCATCGAGAAACCTAAAATGAAAAGCTTGACTTATGATAAAATCTGAACTTTGTGTATGGTTGAAGAAATGTCACAGACTGGCAGGTAATATATTTTTATGTGTATTTTTTTGTTTTTAGAAAAATGCAAAGCAGATGTGTCTAATGTTTCTTTAACTGATTGACAGAACAGAACTGTTTTGCTGGTTTAGTTATTTTCATTTGAGGTTAAGCTTTTTCAATTTTACTGGTTAAATGATCAGTGTTAGCTCATTATTATTTCTTTCAAAAATGGAATACTTTATTATTAATTCTTACATTTTGTGCTATAAAACTTATATTCTCACATATGCAAGTATGTAATTGTTCATACATGACACTCCACTTTTTGTACATTTAAATGATTTTATTGGAAAAAAAAACCCTCAGTCTTTGCAACCCGCCTTTCCAGTGTTTGTGGAGAAGCATGAGGCGAACTCAGTCCTGCAGCGCTGGCGACGAGCAAATAGCATGTTTGAGGAGATAAAACAGGGAAATCTGGAGAGGGAATGCATTGAGGAGATCTGCAGCTATGAAGAGGCTCGGGAGGTGTTTGAGGATGAAGATCAGACGGTCAGACACACTGATGTTTAAAAGAAATAAAACTAGAAGAAGAAATAGAAGTAAAAAGTCTCTGTGGTGGACCTCCTTAGGCTGTCATACTTTTCTTTTCTTTCCGTCTTCTTCTGTTAACTTTCTCCCCAGCTTTTTTCTTTTTTCCCCTTTTCTATCCCCCAGTTCTGTCCCTTGTGGTTGCATTAACCCAAAATAAATTCTAATAAGATATGACTGTCAAGTGAACCATTATCCCATAATGTTAATCAGCATGTCATTTTCTGGCCTTCTGCTAACAGGATACAGGCTAAAATCATTTTGAATTTATAAAACATAAAATTTTAGAAACTAAATTATTCAGCCTTATAATTTTGCCTTAGTTTGAAAACATAAGTGACAACAAAATTCTACAGTTTAACTGACCAAACTGTCAATGATGATTAAAGATGATTATTAAATTAGACCTCTGGCATGTGTTGCATATTAAACAAATCTTTTGCTCCAACTTTATACAACACTCTTTTTCAGAATGGAAATGATACTTAGTCAAAATGAGCACAGACGCTACAGAAACCTAAAAAAACTCAAACTGTTGTTTAATACACTTCAATGTTTATCACTAATTTACCAATCAAAATAAATAAATAAATATGAATGTTATTTAATATTTGTTTCTTTAGATGCGGTTCTGGCAGTCATATGATGGTAAGTAACATTTTGATTTTAAATTTTTTTGTGTTACGTACGCACATATGACAGGCGAGACCAAAGTAGAGATGGTTGGCTAAAAATCAAAAACAACATATCAGCACAAACAGATCAGATGTCAAGCCTGTGATGGACGAGTGATGATTTGGACACATTGGAGTCATTGAGTCGATCGTGAACTCCTTTGAAACCCAAAGTATTCAAGGGTTGAGTGTGAAGCTACCTGTCTCACAGGGTCATGAAACAAGACAATGGTCCCAAGCACATCTCCAAGCCAGTGAACGCAGTGCAGTGATTTTTTCTTTCCACAAAAGTAAATCCAATTTTCTTGCTTTCATTTAATCACTTTGATAAATCTGACATTATCATTATAACTCTTCTGTAAGGTCGTGACCCCTGCCTAATCAACCCATGTCATAATAATGGGACATGCATTAATCTGGGAAATAGCCAAAAATGTCAGTGTCTCGATGGGTTTGAAGGACGATACTGTCAGACAGGTAAGAAATTATTTGGTTAAAATTAATTTTATATGAAGATTTACAGAAAATTGCTGAATTTAAACCCATATACTTTTATTTCCCTGGTATTTATCTCTAAATAAAGAAACTTTAAAGCTTTAAACAAATGATTTTGATTTTCTCAGTCTTTGAAGATACTCTGAAGTGCCTTTACCTAAACGGGCGCTGTGAGCAGTTCTGTGATGGCTCAGGATCTAGACGTCGATGTTACTGTGCTGATGGATATGTGCTGGGAGACGATGGACGACAGTGTGTCCCCAACGGTAGAAATGTTGTAGGACTACCTCCATTAAGAGCTTTAACTTCATTATTTTTTCCCTGATCACGATGTGAAATCCTTTATTGAGCAGCCATCAAATCCTTTTACTTCTGAATTTCTTGGGGAAGACGTTAAGTTGATTATCAGTTACTTTACATCTCGGAGGATTAAGTAGTTGTGCGATTGCATTTGTGTTACAGTGGAGTATCCATGTGGTCGGGTGGCTCCACCAGAAATAGGACAAAACCAGACTGCAGTGATTACTCCAAGGATGGTGGGGACTTACCACTGTCCCAAAGGAAACTGTCCTTGGCAGGTAAACACTGCTTTATATGAGTGATCAAACTGATCGTTTCATCATGGGTGTTTTCATTGCACCATTCACTCATGAGCTGCATGAGTTTACTTGATGCAAACAAGCCTACAGAGTCTTGCTAATGACCTACTAATTGTGTTCAGATGTGTTACAGTTGGGACATCGGCCCTCGAGGACTGGAGTTTGACACCCATGTCCTAGAGCAGGGGTAGGCAACTCCAGGCCTTGAGGGCCGGTGTCCTAGACGTTTTAGATGTGTCCTTGATCCAACACAGCTGATTTAAAGGGCTAAATGACTCCTCAGCATTTCTCGAAGTTCTCCAGAGGCCTGGTAATGAACTAATCATTGTGATCATCACTCAGGTGTGTTAACCCAGGGTGCGATCTAAAACCTGCAGGACACCGGCCCTCGAGGCATTTCCATTGAGAAAAAGCCAGCTTTTTTGATACAGCACCACAAATACTGGACCCTAAGTTGAAACCACTGATGTCAGTGTCTGATAGAGGGGCTATCACCAGATATTCACCAATGATTTGCTGAAGCAGCCAACAGAGTCTGTCCTGCGTTGTTATCTCCCCTTAGAAATGACCCTAAGCCTGGAGTTGCCTACCCCTGTCCTAGAGGGATTGTCTTCTACGTAGCAGTAACATTGCCAAAATTTGTCAACAATTCAAACATCTTCTGTTAAAGTGGAAATGTCAACTTGACAATGGACAGTTTGAACTTTTGATGACTATGTTAATGCAAAATTTAAGCTTTATACAACTTCAGTAGGCGCTTATCTTTAAAAACACCCTGTACAGTTTTTGAGAAGAAAATATTTATTTGTAACAGGCTGTAAACATTTCCTCTGTTTATTTCTGCTGTAAACCTGGACATTTTTACATGTTCAGTAGAGACTAACCAAATTTTGGAACCACAGTCAAGTGGGTATGGTAGAAAAGCATAACATAGTTTAAATGATTCATTAATGCAATAAATTACAATAATACACAAATGATATATGAAAATAAATATTGTTTTTAGTCTCAGATTTGATTTTTATCCTGGAAATAGTTTCTATCTTATAGTTAATGTAACCTTGTTTTTGTTTTTTTATTAGGTTCTGGTTCAGTTAAATGCAAAAGCTCACTGTGGAGGTGTTCTCATCCATCCAAAGTGGGTCATCACTGCTGCACATTGCATCCATGGCCATGACCCCCAAAACCTGACTGTGGTAGCAGGTAAACTCATTTGCATCACTAACATATCAGACCAGTTTCTAATAAAATGTAAAATTTAAATATCATTAACTTGTTTTAAGTTATAAGTTAATTGGCTTTTAAAGTTATTTGTCACTGTTGCCTTTAATTGCCTGTGACATTATTTCTAAAAGTAAAAATTGATATTGCAATGGCGTTAATGTGCTACTTTGCAAAACATACTTATAAAACTATTTTGCCCCTATTGGGGAAGAAATAGGAAAAACTTGATGCAAAGACTTGCATCAGCTTTAGCTTGCTTCATATAGTGAATCATATAAGGCTTATATGATTTACTCATGAAACTGGCCCCTTTCTCTTTATTTTCATATATTGTTTCAGTAAGTATCCAAAATATACAAGTTTGATTTATATAATTTTTCAAGGGATCTTATATCTGTTTTTACTCTTGTATGCTTTTCATACAAGTTTCACACAAGACAGATACAAACTTTATAAGATTTATATATATCTTTTCCATATGGGGTATTTTGATATGTTAATTTAACATCTAAATGTTATTCTTTTAAAGTTAGCTTTTACTTTCATTAATTTGTTGAATTGAGATGAAAATATTGGTTACTGTCTTGAAAAATATATATTTTTTTAGTTGTTTGTAGTTTTTAGAGTTTTATATTGTGTACTTTTGTATACAGTATGTACTTTGTATATTATTTAAAAATGATTTGATCTAATAAATCTTATACGTTAGTTCATAATTTCACTACAAATTATTTTCTAAAGGGGTTTGCACTCATTTATTTTTTACAATGTGTTTCCCATCATTAAGTTTTGTGGAAATTATTTGGTATGGTTTTTTTTTTTAGAATTTAATGTGTAAAGTTTTTGCAAAGTTGTTTTTTGATCTTTTTTTTCCTAATAATTTTTTTTAATTATAGGATTTATTTATTTATTAATTTATTTATTGGTTATTTTTTAAAACTTGGCTTTCTCTAACTCTGCTCTGTGTCACCAGGGGAATATAATTTGGATGTGGAAGAAGGCACAGAACAGGAGATACCTGTTTCTTTGGCAATTGCCCATGATAGTTACGTCTCAGCGACGGGTGACAGTGACATTGCCTTGCTACAGTTGAGCCATGCTGTCAACTTGAGCCAACACGTCATCCCTATCTGCCTGCCCACTAAAGATTTTGCAACGCGGGAGCTGTTGCTACAACGTTACCACACTGTGTCTGGCTGGGGCAAGAGGACAACAGGGGGCAACGTTAAGACTCTAGGCGCCCCGGTTTCCCCTGTCCTCCGCATGATGCCAGTCCCCATCCTCCAGAACTCCATGTGCTCCCTGAGAGCCAAGTTCAACCTCACTGAAAACATGCTGTGCGCTGGATATCTCGAAGGACGCCAGGAGAGTTGCCGTGGAGATGATGGCAGCCCACTGGTGTCGCTGTTTGGCTCCACCCACTTTCTGACTGGTGTGGTTGGCTGGGGACGTGGTTGTGGGGCTGGGTATTTTGCGGTGTATACCAACATGGCCAATTTTGTGGAGTGGGTGGAGAAGACCATGAAAAATCCACCATCGTCACCGTCGCATTCTCTCGTAATGGTGGAACAGAAAAGAAATTAGGAGATTTATTTTTCTTTGTTGTTTATTTCTTTTCTGAAAAATTTGAAACTTTATCACTAAAATGCTTTCATTGATCTTCCTGGTCTTGTCTGGTTTGTTTGGCTGAAATGTTAAAAGTGAAGTAATTCCATATGGTTTTCTTGAAAATGTTAAAAAATGGAGAGAAGCAGAATAAATGTTACTGTCAAAGAACTCTGAGGCTCATCTTTGTGGGTAATATAAACTCTTAACATGCCTTTCTGTTATCGTGTGTCCACCTTCTCCAGCTGCATTCCAGATGATCATGGTATTGTGTTTTAAAAGCCCTTTAATCCCAGTAATAACTGAACATTTGTTTTTCTAAGCTGCAGAGTCAATACACGTTAGTTTGGACTGTGGACATCCAACACTCGGCCCACAAAGAGCGCTGAGCTGATTGGCTGCCATTCAACAACCTCCGCACTGAGTCAGAGTTTTAAAAGAAATCCCCTCATTTACTGTACCCCATCTAAAAGTGAGGTGAAACAAATTCTTCAGGCCTGAGTGTGTGAGGAAGCTGCACAAACTTTTACAAAAGTGCAATAAGTGTCTTGTTTTTCATAATTTAATGTCTAAAACTTAATTTCCTTGCATACTGCTGCCAGTGACTGGATTTATCTGTTGATGGGTTTTCTACTAGGCTCTGACCATAGACACTGTGCCCTCTGAGTTCCCATTAGAGTCAAACCTTGTTTATAAATGTTGTTCACATGTGAGCTAGATATTAAAGATATCCAGAGAAGCCAATAATGCAGCTTTGAGCTCATCCTTTGGAAAATATCTTTAACTTCTCAAACACTCAAAACCAGACTAAGCTACCAACCTTACTTGCTGACAATTGCTTATTAAAGTTTAATCATAGTGAACTGGGCAGATGAGTTATGCAAATACAGACAAGATATTTTGTGCCTTTTATTAAAATTTGGTCTTTCATACTATTCAGTATTCCCTGTTGACTGCAAGGACTTTAATGATCCAGACTGTTGATGATTACGATAAAATAAACCTGCATTTTTTCTAATGACCAGCAGTAAACAACCCCTCAGGTTCTGACAGTATGGAAGTCTATAAGAACACAAGAACACGAGCCTGTGGATCACTTAATTTCTGAGCTCAGTGTGCACTTTCCTGTTGAGTTTATGGTATTGGTTTCTAGTTTTGTGACTTTCCGAACAAAGGATTTACCAGCATGGCTACCTTGTGGCTGACAACTTGCTTCCCTATGAATTCCCTTATGTTTTATAATCCTTGGTTAAATCTACAACATAGTTTTACACCTCACGTAGTTGCTTATACTGTGCTCTGATGTGCGCCTTACCAGAAATGTAACTACACATAGTAGGGGAACAGTGCTCAACAGCTGCAACAGATACTACTTTTCTTCCAGAGTATAATGATTAGCATGACAGCTCACAGTTCACCAGCTTTTCTTGTTTTTATCTCTGACAATCTGTTGGTTCTGTTGTCTTCTCTCCTTTCTGTGTTTCATGAAAAGCAGCACGTGCAGCTTGACTGTCTCATTTTGCAATAGATAAACAACCACTTCACCCATTGGGACAGGAGTCCACACAATACTCCAAATTTTTTTGGCTTACTCCAAAGAAACAGCATTTTGGTGTTGGTGTACAGATGTGGATATAGTCTTAAAGCTGGGTCTTTATGAGACCTCCTGTTATGTCCTCTATGACATGCACTCATCCAGTCTTTTATGTTGTCAAAAAAGCTTCAACTTTTTAATACTGGATTTTGGAAGACCTTTGGATGTAGACAGCACCACCCGAGCAGCTGTTCTGATGATGCCATTGCCTGTTTCTGTATTTCATATATCCATGAAGGTCAGTACAGCAAGGGTTAAGGTTCAAGTCTAAGGAGCTTGGAAAGAAAAGTGTCTGGACTTTAAGTTGCTTGAAGACATCTCACCTCTCATCCGAGAAGCTTCTTCTGGATGAGAGGTGAAATGTCTTCAAGCAACTTAAAGAAGTCCAGACACTTTTCTTTCCAAGCTCCTTAGACTATGATGACCTGGATGAATGAGAACCTTCACAGACGGTTAAGGTTCACCAGACTAAAACCTTTGACCTGGCCTGATCCTGTTCACAGCAAAGTCTTTTTCAACCATGTTGGTGCTTGACTTGACTGGTACTTTTTTTTTTTGCTCAATTTGAGTACTCAAAGCACTTTGTTACTGCTACATTCACACAATTACTTTTTTCTATGCCTAAGGACTGAAATTCATGCATTCACACTCTGATGGATGGACTCTGATGGATCTGGGGTCAACTGGGGTTAAGTATCTTGCCCAAGGATGTGTTGACATACAGTTTGGAGATCAAGCCACAAACCAAAGTATTAAATTATAAAGTACTCATATGTGAAACTTTGGTGCTCCTTATATGTTTATTTATTATAGGCACAGCAGCTCCACTTACTACAGACTATGCAGCTGACAATGACTCCTTCCTGCCCATCTATTTGCTTCCAGTAGTTGGCCAATTAGAGGAAAGCGCACATGTAGTGAGGATAATGATAGCTTTGTGTTATCCATTATGTATTATCTAGTCCCATAAAAAAACATACAAAATTGGGCATAAGCATAACAGGCGCTCTTTAAAGTCTGATTGGCTGTGTCATGATAAATTTCATGCTGGAAGACATACTAAACATTCTTTGGTGTGGTTGCCAGAGGGGCAACCTCCATGATTGGAGGATTTTACTTTCAGCAGTGCTATCTGGGACTTGCAGTTCTCCCTTGAAGTTTTGATGACTCAGTTAAAACCCAACTAGCCCAGTCAGTCGGTTTAAACACTCTGTCCCCCTCCCTCTCCATAAAGGTCGTTACCCTCTACACCTCCCCTCCTCTCGGCTATCTTATCTCTACATTCAGACTCCATTACTCCACTCAACACAGAGGGTTTTCCAGGCTGATCTCATAAACATCTAGGACCATGTTCTGGTGTATACGTCTGTCCCTGGGACTCCTGTTCTTTCATCTGGCTGCTGCTCATGGTATGTTTATAAAACCGTATGTTTAGCTTTTAACAATGACACATCATAGAAGTGGGGAAGAATATGGTGTTTAAGCTGAGAGAGAAAGAAATACCACTATGTTGAATGCATTGGGTTTTTTAGAGGGGGTGTTGTGGGTGAGGGTGATTGACAGATGGCAGGTGACACGTGACCCCACCCCGTGTGTTTGGTGTGTTGTGTGTGATGTCAGCATGACAGCAGCATGCATGCCACATGGGAAATACTCTACTAAATCATCAGAATTTTCTTTATCATTGAAAATGGACTTTTGAACAATAATTGTATAAAAAACAATATAAAAACTTCTGATTTATTTGTGAAAATACTAAATAAAGCAAAAACAAAAAAGAAAGGGTAAGAAGATGCCTATACAGAACCTGCACGTAGCCACTATGACATCACTTATTGGTTTCTGGACATTTTGCTGCAGCACAAGCATTTTAGCTGCTGTTATGATAGTTGTTATGCTGTTATGCTAGTTTGTTGTTATGCTAGTATGGTGAATTACCATATTTGTACCATTTTACTGCTACTTTACACCACATTTAAGATATGTGTTTATCTGGTCTTTAGGGTTTTGAAGACTAGCTGTATATAAAAAATAAATATAGCTTTTATCACATAAATGGATTGAAGTTCACTTTTAAAGTTTTGACTTTTTGGTATTATGGTCTAAGGAGCCTGGAAAGAAAAGCGTCTGGATTTCTTTAAGTTGCTAGAAGACATTTCACCTCTCATCCTGAAGAAGCTTCTTCAGTTCTAGAGTCAAATGGTGGAGAGTCCCAGATTTAAGCCCTTTCGCAGTGTCCCCCAAGAGGGACAATGGACCTCCTAATGATCCTCTACACTCAAAAAAATAACTCTTTGAATGAACATAAAAAAAATCATGGAAAGAATTTCCACGTAATTAAATTGCTTTATTTTAGCATTATGCAATTCTGTTATTCCAACTTAATGTACTTGAGTTGGACTAACGTGATTAATTAATGATGAATCAACTGTTTTACTACAGTTGTGTCCAACTTATTTTAATTGATTTGATCCAACCCAAATTACGTTAGTGCAACAAAACATGCTTATTCGTAATAGAACTCCATTTAAGTTCATTTAAAGAGTTATTTTTTTGGAGTGTTCAACAAAGTCTAGAGTCTAGTTAACATAAAATTTTAATGGATTTATAATAACTTGCACTCCATCCATCCTCTTATCTTTACCAGGGTTGCAGTGAGGCTGGGACCTATCCCAGATGTGATAGGGTGGGAGTCAGAATACTGGACAGGTCACCAGTCTATCACAGAGAGACAGACAACCCTGTGCCACCGAGCTGTCAATCTAGACTTCAAAAAAATAGGGAAACTATGATTACAAGGCTTTATATAGAATTTTAAAAACCACAATAAATAGCTGAGGCATATATGTAGTGTATGTATGGTTGTCTTTCTCTTCTAACCCCAGTGATTTTCCTGTGGTTTGAACTCTTGTGTGATCTTGTGAATTTTGTGAATCCAGGCAACTAACCACTCTTACTAGATTGTATCCTGTCATCTCAACAAGAATAAATTAAGTTGCTGGATTTCATGCAGATCCTACATGATTTCATTACGTTCACCACAGAAACAGGAAATTATTTTGTTCACATTACAAGTTTGAATTTTGTAAATTTAACAACCACCCAATTTCATTTTTTTTTTGAGTGTACCTAATCACACGAGCCAAGGTGTGAAAACGGGTGTGGGTCACAATCAGCCAAGATTTCAGGTGAGCTCATTGGGAAACCTGGCCCCACCCTATGATGTGATTTCCTGAGGTCAGATGACCCAGGATGTGAGTGGGCGTTAAGGCGTCTGGGAAGGGATCTCAAGACTGGATTATAAATGGCAGACAGTTGGTGTCGTAAGCCACCACCTCTGTTCAAAGATGGTCTTTCACAGTGGACATAGATGGCTTCCTTCACTTAGCGGTCCATCTGCATCTAAAAGACAAAGGTCGCTCATTTGAGGATGCCAATGTTCACATTTTGGACAGAGAAGACAGATGGTTTGAAAGATGGGATCTGCTAGGAGCTGCTGCCCTTCCCTTTCGAGGCCTTCCCCAAACTACAGCACAATTCATGTCCAGGCAGTTCACCTTTATCTACTAAAATGCTGTCAAACCTAAAATGAGGACGTGAGCCCAGCTGGTGAATGTGTGTTAGTCAACAGGAGGTACAAAGCAGTTCCCTGCATAACCATTGCAGCAGTTTAGTCCGAAATGCCTCCTTAAACTCGTTCCCGTCGCATGTAAGACTCTGCCAGGCAAACCCTTTGTCAATGATTCTATTCGTAGTTTTAATGGAAAGAATTTGTGGGTTTAGTCAGGTGGCGGTAAACTTCCATTTTGTTGGTCTCAGAATCTCATCTCTGCTTTTTGCAGCCTATGTTGGCTTCATCAGGTGGTTTTCAGTTGATTGTGAAGCAGCAGGTATGTGAATCAGCACTTCCACATCTGAAGCCATAGTCCTCTGCAATGAAAGGTTGGAGTGTCACGTGTGAGGGGAGGAGACATTGACCCTGCACCACACTGGTCCATCAGTGAGAGAGAGAGAGCTGAGCAATTTACCAGCAGCCTACTTCCCATCCTCATCTATGGGTAATGGCCAACAGATCACAGTTGCAGAAATTAGTTTTCTCCAAAGAGTGGCTGTGCTCAGCCTTAGCGATAGGGTAAGAAATTCAGTCATTTGGCAGGTCTCAAAGTACAGATGGTAATCCTCCACATCAGAAGGAGTCAGCTGAGGGTGAGGTGTTCTGGGTGTGTTCTACTGGGAAACAATACATGAATGCCTATGAATGCCTTTGTGCTCCAGAGTTTCCAGAGTTTCAGCTATTTAGATAGATAGCTATATAGCTTCAGCTATAGATACTCCGTAGAAAATAGACAATGGAAATGGTATAAGAACCATTAAGACACAGCAAGTCATATTATCTGTTTGGTCAGACCCTCCCAAAGTGTGTGTG